TGATTACGTGACGCATCACAATCACAAAATGATCCTCCACACGCAAAGTCATTGCTTAATCTGACGAATTGGGCTCACTCAAGCGATACGAGACACATGGATAACAAGTCATTGAGTCTGCCGAATCGGTCGCACTATCGCGACGATGTCATCGGGCAAGTGGTGCAGAGGATCAAGTTTACATCTCACTATGCTCAAACGCCCAAAATCTACGAAGAAGACGATACCACTCATGTGTTCTCAAAACGCAACGCGCCACTCGATGTCACCTCGTTAGACAGAATTTCCCCACGAACGCATTCCAGATCCTCGACAGAAAGCTTAGACATCAACATGCCAGTATTAGAGGGAAACGATACAACTCCGTTCGACTCGGGAAGCGAAACAATGGTAAAGACATTAAAACAGCAACACAGAGGGTATATGCAGCGATATCGGACAAAGATCAAGGACCGCGCAACCACTCTCGAGAGCGACATTAGACGGCTGCAAGAAAGAATTCAAAGACTCCAAGAGCAGTATCAGACCACTTCAATTGGTGTATCCATATGTATAACGGTGTGGCACGTCGTGGCAGAATACTTTCGCCTCTTCCGTTGTGGATTAAAGAAGTCCACCGGAGAGCCCTGGACCACGGTGGAAGAGCGGTCCTCGTGTATGCTCCGCGCCCAGCGAGACTTTATGTATGCTTTCATGGCACCTGATGTAGCTAGCAACAATGGTACAGGCGTGGAGACACTATTGGATTCTTATCGCCTTCTGGCATTTTACTTGCCAGACTTTGAAACCCGAATCGTGCGGATGGAGATCGTTGAAGACATGATATTGGTGACCACAACCGTCCAGATTACTCTCACCGCAAATACACTTCAACGAGCATTTCCGCATTTGGCACCTGGCGCCGAGCAACATGAGTGGCTGCTAGTTGCCAAGAAGTTGCTCGGAAAGCAAATTGTGATGCGCGGTTCGACACGTTTCATGTGGGATAGCACCACCAAACATGTTGCGCTCCTGCAGTCTTCAGCGGACCTACTGAGCTCGATTTTACGACTGCTGGGTGATATCCAATCTGTCTGCTCTGCTTTCGGCGAGTCACGTATTACACCTGACTGCACGTTGGCTCGTCCGCTTACTTGGTGAGGAAGCGATTGCTATAGGTAGCAGGATACCTATTTTCAGGACAATATATCATTTTGGGTAGTAGACATGGACACTATTGGGAGTTGGCAGGGTGATGAAAGGCATTTGCCGCCAAGATTAAACACTGTCGGATTCATCCCCTAGTAGGGACTTGGCAGCTCAACTGTTAGGGCGCATGAATGACATTCAACTTCAAAGCATTAAGACCACATTCCACAAAGAGATCACTTTAGCTGTGAATCTTCTCGAACAAGCATCTTTCCAACATTTCCATCATCTCGCTGACTTCTGCTTCTCTTGTTTTAGCAATCACCCCGGTCATGCTATTAGCTGGACGACTGATATTGATAAGAATGCAGCGAACGTCGACAATAGACTGTCGCTGGTGACGTACCAAACTGTTTTTGCCGCAAAACGAGCCAAATGTTTGTCGGCACGAAGCCCTTATGATTTCGAAAGCGCTTTGCATCGTCGCTGGACACCACAACCTCGAAGTGTGTGCCATCAATGGCGCAGGGGGCTTGATCAAAATACGGATAAAGTCTTGCGAAACAGATTTAAGGAGGTAAATGTCATCACTCAGCGCCCGGACGACAGTGTAGACACCATGAATTATGTACTTATGCACGATAGCGTACGCTAAATCGAAGCGAACCTCCTGATCCCGGCGTGTTGAAGCAGTCTCAATCCAATTCAGCACAACAGCCAGCACTTCTCGTATCGAGAAGTGCGATAAAATAGAGTAGGTTTGGAAACCTGCTTCTTCCCTCTGTTTTTATGCCGAATCATACTAAACCAAGTGTGCTGCTTTAATTTTTAAGAATTAGAATTTTAATTCTATCGCTTCTAGTCTCGTGCGGCATTATGGAATCTAGTCCCTCGTAC